GGGTGCATGGTTGATTTAATTGTTGAGGATGATGCAAATTGATGTCGATAGGTGTCGAGGATCCTGCAGTTGTTTGCTGAGGATCTAGAAATTATAGAATCTATATAACTATACGTCTTATTAAAGCTCCGAAGAACTCGATATGAAGATAAACATCTATAAGATTTTGACCTTATGTAACATATAAACTTAAAGAAATCAATCTATGAAAACATGTTTAGTTCTATCCCTTTACCTCACCAAATTTTATCTTTCAGTTACTTAAAGGACCTTGAGTAATTTTGAAACATACTTAACTACCACAAAATAAATTAATTTAATTAATTTACCGGCTATAACAGGAAGCATTGCTTTTGAAGTCGATGATGTAGAATGTACTCCAGTTGTAAATTTAGGATCTATAGAAAAAGATTTGCATATTTTCATAATTTAAATAATTTTTTGCCTGTGCTAGCCTGACCAGTCTCGAAATGACGCCCTTGCTGGGCTTTTCCTGCTTGCTGAGCAGCAAATCGTGGACCTTTTCTCGTAGTTGCATGTGTATTTACCTCTTTATGGGTCGTTTGTTCGGCTACAGCTTTGTTTCTTGAGTGTGAAGTTCGTAGACTTTTACTCGGACCTGTAGTTTCTAAGGTGTCTCCTGAATGCGAGCCCGAATAAGTTCCTTTTCCACTCCTTGTTTTTACACAATCTATTTCTTTCCAAATGATATCAAATAATAATAATATGAAAACAATTGCGAATACGCGCATTTTTAGATTGATTTTTGAGGAAATTTCCTGAAAATTTCAAAAAATAAGTTCGATGTCTAGAGAATGAAAGATCTGTCGATAAAGCTGACAAAAGCTTTATATGATATTTACAGAAGATATTACACACAATAAAGAAATAATCTCTTAAAAGTTATTAAGATACTCCATAAATTCAAAGCAAAAAGTCAAGAAATTGTCTGTTTTTATAAAAAATCATACATACAGTAAAGCAGCTGGGCTATAGCTATTTCTCTCCTTTAGCTAGATCAAAAGGTTATTCGGCGGCTGGGAGCAAACCAGCATCTTAAGTAGACCGGACTGATGTGTTAGCCATTACACCACGCCGCCCACTGCATAGTTTTAAGAATTAAATAGCTATATGCTTTACAATTAATGAATAGAATTGACAAACTTTGAATTTATTTCTACAAATTTTAAAAATTTAGCTGAGGAATTCAAAGGAATTCTTTTAAAATTTAAAGCAATGACTATTTTAAAACTGTCTATTTTTCTACCATCGCCCATGTCGCTGCACTTTACTCAATACAAGTTCTCGTATAAAATCATATGAAAATTATTGACTTGCCATTTAAAAAAATTTTTTTCTAAAGGGTGAATGAATCTTTAAAGTTGCCCTGCCGTTTTTATGGTTTTACAACCCATTAAAATATTTCTGGAGTGATCAAAGCTCAAAAGTTTATTTCCGACAAACTTAGATATGCGTCCAATCAAACTTTATGAGTTCAATCAAAAAACAATTGAATTTTTCTTAGTATTGCAATGTTGGGGTATAGTTCCACAACATTTCTTCATGTTCGGGACCTACGCCCATTGGGTCTGGGACCGTTTCATGCCCTATCCCTCGAAATTTCGGAAAGTTAGCCATTTTTTAAAAATTTCAGAAAAACGATTGTAACTTTCAGAAATTTCGAGGGATAGGGTAAGGAACGGTCCCAGACCCAGTGGGCGAAGGAAAATTATAAATTATTTTATAAAATTTATGTTTTTAAACTTATTTATACTTTTAATTTGTTCAAATGAAAAAATGATTAATAAGTGACAATTAAAAAATTTTGACCAAATGGGTGTCTCAGACCAGGTGGGTGTAGGTCCCGATATGAAGGGCTGTTACGGAACTTAGACTGAACTTTGAAACACAGAAAAAAGTTATAGTCCTAAATTGGCCGGCCAAATTGAATTTGTCCTGAAAATGAATTTGGTTGGAGACATGTGCATCCCCAATAACCATTTCCTACCATTGTCTCTCCTTTTATTATTAAATTAACCTAGAAGAAAGTTATCCTGGAATTTAAATTAGGGTTGCGCACCGAGCCTTCGGTGGTTGAAAAAGTCGAGGTCGGGGTTTTCGGGGTTGACAAAATCGGGGTCGGGGTTAGTCGGGGTCGGGGCGCAACCCTAATTTAAATATAAGAAAAGCTCTCCTAGACTAGGCAAAAAATAGCTTGAAGATAACACAATCTAAGCATTTTTCTTCGATTATTCAATTTAATCAACTTGTCAAAAGTTAAAATAGAAAGAAATGTTGTTTTTAAAATTTAAATTTTTAAATTATTTAAACTTTTTTGATTGATTATTTGCCATTGGGGGAGGGGGGGCTGAAAGCGTGAAACGTTGCAGATTTCTTAATAAAATGCTAGTGAGTGGCATGTATAGAGGGTAGAAAGGCGATGGCAAGACCCACCTTAACAGGGCCCTGCCATTCCCTTAAGGAGAATGGCCCTGCCATTCCCTTAGGTGAACAATTTTGTACTTACTATTTTATATTTAAATTATTAAAACAAGAAAAACGGGTTCTATTATACGTTTAAAGTAGGGCTCCGATTCATACTTTTTTTAAATTCTCAAAATTTTCGGCTGCGGCGCAAAAAATAGAAGATTTTGTGTCGCCATAGGCGCCACAAAAAAGCGCATTGAAATGCACAAAATACACAGTAGAAACAAGAATTTATTAGAAAAGATTCATTTAGGAGGCAAATATGAAGATTTGAGTATTTATACATACCGTATTTACTCGATTAATTCCCCCGGGGAATTATTTTTTCAACCCATCCGAAGCATGGGGAATTAATAGAGGGTGGGGAATTATTCGAGTTTTGAAATTTGAACGTGTAGTAGGGTATTCAGGATGGGGAATTATTTTTTCAACTCATCCTTGGCATGGGGAATTAATAGAAGGTGGGAAATTATTTGAGGGTGGGGAATTAATCGAGTAAATACGGTATTTATTTATACATAATACATATTTATTTAAACACTTAACAACTTTACACATATATTAGAACGCGTTTTTCTTGTTTTAATAATTTAAGTATAAAATATTAAGTACAAAATAGCAACTTTTATTTTATCCTTATTTTTACAATCTACACAAACATATCAAAATTATTTTTCTAATTTAGAATATTTAAAAAAAAATTGAAATGCGTTTATTCGAAATTGTTTTAATATCATTCATGTTGCTTTGGAAAGGAAGTGATTTTTAATGAACTAAAGGGTGGATAAAGTCTATCTGACATTTATGGATCGGGTTTTCTTACGACTTTGAATCAGTTTGCTAAGAAACTGGATTTTTTAACGTATTAACACTGTTTTTTGTTTGTATAATCGAATTTTAGAACCAAAAAATATGCTTGATCCTCCATTTTAGAGTTTTAATTTTCAAAGATTTTTAAAGATTCTTGGGTGAATATTTTATAAATGTAAATTTTTTATCCATTTAAATCTTTAATATTTTTTTAAAAAATCTAAAATAAATTTTTATCGGGCTACAATTTTTAAATAGTAATATACTAGTAATTTGGGCACTCCTGCCGCTGGGGCAGGAGTAGTAATATGTGACTGTCAACAATGTTACTACTCATTTAGACTTTGTGAAAACTAGTAAAGGAATTTAAAAAAAACATGTATATAATCGAAATAAAATAAATAAACTCTAAAAAAGACTAAATTGAACTAAAAAATTGGACTAAAAAATTGGACTAAAAAATAAATAAATTGGACTAAATTAAATAAAAAAACTAGATTGAATAACTAAAATGTTTGAAAAGGTTTTTAAGATGTTTAATATGTAGAGATGCAACATGACCATTACTCGATCATAGTTTCATCCTCTGACTCAAACACCGTCCTGAAACAAATTAAAAACCTTAACCAAACATACCTGCCCCAGTTTACCGAGGGATAACAAATTTTGATAGAGTTGGCAAATCTAAGAAATCTTCAAATATTCGAAAATAAATTTAAAAAATTTTTTTCTACTTTAAAGTTCGTAAATATATCCACTTGAAAACGATTTAGACCATTTTTGTGTCTGAGAAGCCGTAAAAATTTTCGAATTAGATGTGGTTACGGCTCGCCAGAAACCTGATCCAAGACATTGAAAAAGGGAAGGTGAGAATTCTGGTCTTTTTCAACAAACTCTTTAATGAGCTAAGGGTGGATAAAGTCTATCTGACATCTATGGATCGGGTTCTCATACAACTATGAATCAGTTTGCCAAGAAACAGATTTTTTAGCGTATTAACAAATTTTTTTGTTTGTATAGTCGAATTTTAGAACCAAAAAATATGCTTGATCCTCCCTTTGTGGTTTTAATTTTCAAAGGTTCGAAGCAGAAACTTAATTTTTTAGCGTTGTAGCGAAAATTTTTTTTATTTTAAGACCTTAAAAAGTTGGGATAAACGAAATAAGACTATTGAAAGGCTTAAAACCAGACTTTGTAAATTAAATTGCATATCGTAATACATATCCTGAAGTGCATTAATAGAATAATTAACGAAAATTATGGGTAGCCGAATCGAAATTTGACTAAATTTGGATACCTTGATTTGCCAACTCTAAATAATTCGTTATCCTTAAAATAAATTTTGTTTACCCAAAATTAACAGGAAGGTACTAGGTACTCCTGCCGACAGAAACCCATTTCCCATATTTTGAATCGGATCAAAATCAGATAATCTACTACAAATTCTCTCATCTAAACATTTTCATTTCTAACGTTCTCTTAACAGTTACGGACGTAATTAATTATCTAAATTAATGAAAGTTTTTATATTTAAATTAATTCTGCAAAAAATGCCCTTCCTCTGTTACTCCCCTCATCATCAGTTCTTGCTCCCCCACCCTCCATCCGTTCTTGCTCCGCCTCCCTCCCTCGTTCCTGCTCCACCTCCTTGGGACTGCTCCCCAAAAATTTTCTCGTGCCCCACCCCTTCGGGGAACAGCCCCCTAGTATTTATTTAAGCAAATTACCATATTGCGAAGCACAGTATGTTCTTGAGGTGGAACAGATTTGCCATTTATAGGATCCTTCAAATCAACAATGTTGACATCTAAATATTCTCTTATCTCTTTATTTCCCTTCTCAAGTATATAAGCAAAGTAAGGCTCAATAACAAATTCTTCGAGTTTAGTTTTAATAATTATGTTATTAGTAATATTATAATAAAACTGATAAAATGGTGTTCTTGGCAATGAAGTATGTGGATGTAAACTCAATTTTCTTTTAATAAATACACATTCATCATAATTTAATGAATTATTAACAGGAACTGAATTAAAGGAATATTTATTTTAATTACTTTTTTATAAAAAAAACCTTTAGCTTGTAGGTAAAATAAAGGCAAAAACATTGCCATATGTTTTAATTTTTCAAGAGGAGCAAACATTGCAGGGTAAATTACATTCTCTTCTGACTCTGCTTCTTGCAATGTTTTCAGCATTTGGTCACGCTCTAAATTTAAATTTACAAGGTGCGGCAAAAGTTACCGTACTTTTATTAAGCATAAAATTTATTTCAAATATTTCTTAAATTTTATAAAATCTATGGAAAGTGATCATGAATGTGTGAGGAAAAAATTATAACAAATTTCCTCCCTTAGCCCAGATACACGCGGAATTTGCACACTACTCATCCACTATAATTGAGTCCCAGGCCAGTTGCAATCCCGTCTTTCACGCCAGACAAAATCATAGTCAATTGCTTCCAAGGAAAGGCCTTGCTTCTAAAATTGTTAGAAGAGCCTCTTTCCACAATCTTTAATGCTGAGGGCCGGGATTTATGCCACGGAAAAACTCCACTGGTTTTTATAAACAGAACGTGAAAATCAATGCGAATGTCCATCAAAAAGATTTTATTAGAGCTGTTCTGCATCCCTGGGTTGTTCTGCATCCTTTTATATTAGTATATATTTTTGGCCCTGCATATCGGAGCAAAAGCAACGATTGACCTCTGCAAAGAGTTGTTTGCAGGCTTTTGGGCAAAGACATTGGCCAAGTAACTTCCCATATCTGAATACTTGGGAGCAGAGACTTTTACGGATACGATTTACATCAACAGAGGCATTAAAAGGGATTGCAACTGGCCAAGGACTCAGATACTGTGGCTGAGTGCGCGACCATAGTGGGCAACTTCAATAAGCGTTTGGACGCGTTTAATTTAAATATGTTTTCTATAATAATTTAAATATAATAAGTTAAATAGAAATAAATATGTATTATTTTCAATTTAAAAATCTAACCAAAATAATTTCCTTTGTATTTAAATTGAATATTATTTATATTAAAAATATCCAATTTATTTAATAAATACATAAAATAATTTGCTTTAACTTCAAATATATCGTAGGCTTTATAATATTCGAAGATTGAAATCTTTTGACTAAAAATTTTATTATGAAAATTATAAAGAAAATTTTTAATTACTTCCAATTAGACAACAAATTGTCATAATATTCCTTGTTTTTGCTTTGAAATAAAATAAAAGAACTTATTAAATTTCTTGCAAATCCAAATAAATGCCAAAGAATGAAAATATTTTGTTCAACTAATGTTATGTTTATACATTCATTGTAAAGTTCAAAAAGCATATCTTCGTCATCATTGCTTAATTAATTTATATAAAATAAATTTAGATTTTAAATAAAAATTTAACGAATGGATAGGCCAAGAGACCAGAAGTCTAATTTTCGGTTCAGTTTAGTTTTGGCTGACAAGTTAGCGCTCGGCTGTCCCTTAAAGAACTTCTTTCAAAACTTCATCAAAAATACAACTTTTCCTAACTTCTCATTAATTAACCTTAATTCTCTTTAATTTAACATTTATCCTTTCAACTGGGAGCAGGAGAGCGGAATTAACTTATATTATCTGTTCGCATTTCACCACGTATATTTTAATCACCAAGTTATTCACACCGCGGACTCCGAGCTGTTATCGGGCCGCTAAATTTATTCGTTAATTAAATAAATCTTTCTTCTTTTGTGTGTTTATTTTTGGGGATTTTTTGGTAGGCTGTTGTCGTCATCATCGCTTATAAGCCTAGGAGAACCTCCTTTATAAGCGTCCGTCCCACCTACACGGAGGCCGTACAAATTGTGTAAACACCCGAAAGGGCTTTTTGGCACACATAGTGTGAAATTTTTTCCTCATTGTCCGCGGTGAATTAAAACTGCGAAGACAGTGAACCTCCCCCGGGGCCATGGTAATCATCAATAGTTTAATTAATAACGAATGGAATGTTCTAAATCCTGATCATATTGTAATTGATGCAAGGATGATGCCTTTCATAAACTCTATTTAATTAATTAAACAAAATATATTTAAATCATTCATTTTATTTCCAAACTGTAGGTTAATTGAGCGTTCAATAAAATAAAGTAATGGAAAATGGGATTAGGGATTAATAGGAAAAGGGATTAATGGAAGAACACATCTGAACTCAATCATCTGTTGTTCAACCCTTTGGTTAAATATTGGGAAAAGTGGGAGGGGAGAAATGTGAAATACAGATTGAACGTTCTGGGAAAGTTGATGGAATGATTGGGATAATGTTGGGAAACGGATGGTGAATAAAATTGTTTACATTGTTGGGAATGTTTGGGAAGGATAATAGGATGGGAACGGAAACAATAAATGTACAAAGTAGAGATAGGAGGGAAGGATAGGATGGGAAAGAAAGAGTGTAATAAATATATAAAGTCATGTGAAATAAATTCGGGGTCGGGACTTGGATTATTTATAGGTATCGAGTCTCGAGTCCGGGGCTTACAGTTTTTTACATTTTCGATAGAGCGCAAGTTTACCTTAAATTAACAATTTTATTTTTAGCTTCAACATAAAGATCAGTTAAATCATCATCAGAGTCATACGAATCAACATCTAAATATATTCCAAACTGTCCGAAAAATTCATCTAAATAATCCACAGTCATTGTCTCTTTTAATGAATCCAATCTTTTATGGATAAATTGAATTCGGGTTTCGGATTGGTTATTTAATATTAATTCATTACGTTTCTTTTGGAATTCTTGTAATAAATTGTCATAAAATTGAATAACCTTTATTTAAATTGAAAATTTTTAAAAATAAAAAAAAATAAGAAAATTTTCAATAAATTAATTCTCAATTTGTTTTAATGCTTTATCATTAAATCCTTTATGATGAAATTTATTTTTTTATTTAATAAGAACTTTACTTAAACTAACTAAATAAAAAAACCTAACTCCACTTGAACTAACTCTACTCTTCTAACTCTACATTTGGGATATGAACAAAGTACCGAAAATAGTTACATAAGATTAAAAAATTGGAAAATGATTAAAAATCGGAGAAAACCCATTTGAAGTTATTTTATATGCTCATATTTAGGATTCTGATTTCCTTATCAAATTCTAATGAATCGGGTCACATAATCTGATCAGCTTACAGATCCTGGTAAGGAATATGATCAAGTACTCACCCCAGGGTGGCCCCTTCCAAAACACTAAAATAGGGCGCAGCCATTCAAAAATAGGATTTTGGAAGGCCAGGAAGTCAGAAATCCTTCATTTTAACCATTTTTTTTACAAAATCCTAAGAATTTTTAAAATTTTACAAAAGGGTAAAAATAGGGCAAAAATATGGCAAATGAGAAAATAGGGAAAAAATAGGGCGGAAAGGTCAAAAATAGGGAAAATCCTCTATAAATAGGGTAAAAGGGCCACCCTGACTCACCCACATCACCTGCAACATTCCGAAAATCTTGGAGCACAATTTTCCGGGACCCAGAAAAATGAGCGTACGGTTTTCCTAACGAAAAAATGCAAGAAAAGGGGAATAAAGTTCGTATTTTCTTTGCGGACAGGTAGGGAACGAACGGACATTTACCGCTTAATGTTTAAGTTTTCACTACACGTAACTGGGTATACCTGTCTCTTAAATAAAATATATATTTCAAAATTTTTTGCACTTTTTAAAGTAAATTCAAATTAAAATTATTCATTTTAACCCAGTCTTGGGCATAGTCTGTCTCATTTAGATTTTAATTTTTCTTAATTTAAAAGAAAACACCTTTTCAACTTTTTTAAATACATTTTCAATCAAGTTACTTCTATTAATTCTCTCAAAATATTGTATGTGTTGTGCCAAATCTGTTACTCCCAATGCTGTTTCTTGCTTCAATGATTCCAATACTTGGATTTTATAATCTCTAAGTATATCCAAAAGCCCTTTTTTATATTCTTTATCCATATCAGCTTCATCAACTTGAATTAAAATTCGAACTAGAATTGACAGTTCAACGAGAGAAAACGTCATATTTGGAAATATTGAGTCTGTTGGAGTTGTCGGATGGCTAGGGCTATATGGAGAACTTGGACCGGCTACTTGCTTTCCTTTATCACCTTAAATATTTAATTAATGAACATGATTTTCGGTGTCTATAACAGGGGTATAAAAGTATCGCTTTCGTTTGTAGAATTTTTGGTAGAAAAAACTAATTTCTACATATTCCTTAGATAGATTTTACTGTTTTAAAAAGATAACTAAAAATGAGAGTTTTAAAAATTATTTGTCTTTTTTTACTTTTTTAAATTTTTAATGTAAAAATTTAGTTAAACAATTAAAAAAACAAACGCGAATGTTCCATTCCTTTTGTCACTTTAAGATAAAGTGAATTTGTTGAAAAAAATAAAATTAAATAAAAAATATTCATTTTTTATTTTGAATAAATTCTTTTGAAAATAATTTTTAATTAAAATTTTTAATTAAAGAATGGGGAGGGAGTGTGGGTAGTAATTAATGCCGTGTGGGGGGGGGGGGGGGGGGGAAATGGGAAGGGAGTGTATATAAACACGGCATTAATGCCGTGTTTACATAAAAGCGTCTTGCGTTTTGCGGCAAAAAATAGCATTCAAAATATGAGAGACAAAATTGCGTCTCTCCATTCCCAAATTGGGATGGAAATTTTGTCTCTCTTATTTTGAATGCTATCTTTTGCCGCAAAACGCAAGTCGCTTTTTATGTCTCTCCTTTTTTGCGAGAAGGCTCTCCACGATTTCTTTCCTGCGCAACTTAACTAATTGATTTATGGTATAAAATTGCAAATTTAAATTTTTATTAGTGAATTGATTGCAGTGGAGAGAGAAATTTTTAGCGCAGGAGCCGGAGCGGTTATAAAAACTTTAGTGAGAACTTTATTTCATAAAGCCCCCAATGATTGGAGGAGTGTAAAATAGATAAGACGGTTGTTGTCCGTCGAAAGTATTTACGAGGTCGTGAGCCTTCAAAAACTAATGTCTGGTTGTTGCAGTGGAGAAAGAAATTCTTAGCGCAGGAGCCGGAGCGGTTATAAAAACTTAAGTGAGAATTTTATTTCATAAGGAACCCTATGATTGGAGGAGAAGGTATTTTAAAATATTTTTTAATATCATTATCAAATTTATTGCTATAAAATGTGAAATAGATAA